CAGAAACTCTGCTGAGGAGCGTGTGTGTGTGCTCAACTATGGTGGTGATGCCACATGGCACAGTCCCTAGCACCATCTGGAGCAGCTGTCCCTGGTACCTCAGAGACCTCAAGTCAGATCTAGCTCCAGAAGCTCTAGCTGGGGTGGGGAGACAGTGGTCTTGTCTGCAGGAGGTGTGCACTGTCAGAGGATCTGAATTACCAAGTAAAGGAGGTGCAGGAAGGTGTTTGTTAGCAAACTCATACCTTCAAGATCTTGTCCAAGACTTTACATGTACAAGAGCCTGAATCAGCCATAAGAAAGGAGGAACAAGGAGTGTCAGTGCTTATTGGGCAGGGAAACGAGGAGTCCTGTGATGATGAAGGCTGGAAGCTTGTAATTTTTGGCACCAAGAGGAAGGCTTCTGCTCCACCTGTAGATCTGCAACTACAATTTCAGTGCCATGGCATCAGATGAGGGCCTGAGAGCTCTCAAAGCATCCAATCCAACCAAGTCTGAGCCCTGCAGCAGCAGCAGAAGGAAGCAGCAAGTGACAGATAATAGTGGGCAACTTCCTACTACAGGGGATGGAGACCACCAGCTGTGAAACTGACCTGCTGTGCAGGGAGGTCTGCTTCTCACTTCTCTTTTGGATTGGGACATTGTAGATTGCCTACCAAAGGTTTTCTTTTCCTCAGACTATTACCTACCGCTGCTCTTTGTTGTGGGCACCAATGATATTGTAAGGGGACATATGGAGCATAACAGGCATGACTACAGATACTTGATTTTTACAACTGTGGCACCCTCTTTGAGGATCAGTGGCTGGAAGGGAAGGATCCACCTGACCAACTGGGGCAAGCATCTTTATCAACATGTTGACCAATCTGGTCAAGAGAGCTTTAAAGTGCCGGAGAGTGGAGTTGACCTATAACCAAGTGAGGAAGTGATGGGTCAAGTTAGTGGGCAAAGACTTAAGGGTGATGGTGACAAGAGAGACCCTAAAACTAACAAAACAGGGCTGAAGGGGTCCCACCCCCAGTGTATGTCCACAAGTAAGGAAGAACCTACAGGACACCATGATGGGGAAGGTCCTTTACCCTTTCTGGTAAATCAGTGCACTTGAGTTCCTATCTGAAGTGCCAGCGCACTAACGCACTTAGCACAGAGGATGAGCAGGACGAATGAAAGGGTGTGTGCAGCTGCTGCAGGGCTACAACCTCAGTGCAATCACTGAGTATCGCTCACACAAGTGGAGTGCTGTAATTGATGCATACAGGGTCTTTAGGAAGGACAGGCTGCAATGGCAAGGACAGAGTGTTGGCCTTTATGTGAGAGGGCACTGGGAATGCATGGAGGTCTGTCTGGGGGGGAGTAATGAGAAAGCTCATGGTTTATGGGTCAGGACTGGAGGGAATACCAATGTGGGCAATAATGCGGTGGGTGTCTCTTACAGACTAAGTGATCAAGAAGTAGATGAGGTCTTTTTCAGGTAACTGGAATGAGGTCTTTTTCAGGTTCATGTCCACAGCCCTGATCCTCATGGGGCACTTTAACCACTCCAGTATGTGTTAGAGGGACATCACAGCAGTACACAAGCAATCCGGGAGGTTTCTGGAGTGCATCAATGACATAGGTGATTGAGGAATCAGTGAGGATGGGCACTCCTGCTGGAGCTCATGCTTTCAAACAAAGAAGAACTGGTCAGAGAGTTGAAGGTTGGAATCAGTGCAGTGGCCATGGGGTAGTAAGAGCATCTTGAGATGAATGAACAAGGCAAATATCACAGATCACGAACTGGACTGCAAGATAGCAGACTTTGGTCTCTTGAGAGACCTACTTGGAAGAATCCCAGGGGATACAGTTCTGAAGAGAGAAGTCCAGGAGAGCTTGTCACAGTTCCCTTCCTCCAAACTCAAGAATGATTTAACCATCCATCCTGACATGCAGGTAGTCAAGCAAAGGCAGCAGGAAACCTGCATGGATGAACAAGAAACTTCTGACTACACTCAAACAGGATTTGTGACCCAGGTGAGGTGACCCAGGATGAATGTAGAGACACTGTACAAGTGTGCAGTTATGGGGTTAGGAAAACTGAAGGGCATCTGGAGTTGAACCTGGAAAGGGATGTGAAGGGCAACAACATAGACTTCTACAGCAGCAAAAGGAAAACCAGGGACCCACTGTTGAGCAGATTGCCAGACAAGTTGTTGAATCAACCACCCTTGGAGACAGTCAAAACCCAATTAGAAGTGGCTCTGAGCAGTCTGTTCTGCTTTGAGCGGGGAGGTTGGACTAGGGGATCTCCAGAGGTCACTTCCCACCTCAGCTGTTCTGTGTTTCTGTGATAAACTAGGGAAGGACTTTCAGAGGAATCACATTAGTGGTGTAGAGGACCCAGGGACAGACAGCTCTAAGCCAGCTGTGGAAGAAGTGGAATTGATGGTGACTATGCTGATGAAGCTTTTCATTATTTTTCCTTTGATTTTGAGTAAGTGTAATATTTTTTACTTTGGAGATATGGTTTGACCTATGTTTGGTGTCAAAGGCCTGTGTCTGATTAAATTATTTCAAGGTATTATTTACATCTATTGCCTGCATATTCCCTAAAATAATATTGCAAACCAGTTAAAACTAATAAATCAAAGGAAAATGATGGAAACATTGACATGGGAAGCATTTTATGTAAACTCATTAAGTGAAGGGAAAGGATGAAATTTTGCCTTTCACTTGGAAAACTACCATTCTTTTGAGGTAAATCTCAGTCTGAAGCCACTGTACTTTTTTATTGTAGATTTTGTCATATTGATAGTGTCTTGATACTGTGTTTGTACTGTTTAGAAGCAGAGGGATGCAGAAGGTGAATGCTGTATGTCGGAAACATTGAAGGACACAGTGGGAGTGGGACAGAAATTAATGTCTTGAACTATCTGTTTCTTTAGTTTGACAGCTGCTTTGTTAACAAATGGCACCGTGGTATTTGAGTTTCATTCTGCATGTAGGAGCTTTGTAGTGTTCTTCCAGAAAGAGCTGTCAAACACTGGAACAGGTTGCCTAGAGATGTTGTGGAATGGAGATATCCAGTGCCTGAACAAGACAGTGTAATTGCAGAGCTTGAAACTGCTTTGGGCACTGTGTTGGACCAGATAACCTCCAGGAGCCTTTCCAACCTGAGTTATTCTAAAATTTTATGAAAATGTTACATAAGCAAATGCATTTCCGGGCATTAATAATTCCCTGTAACTGTGTTAAACTGTAAACAGAAAAGCAAAATAAATACCCACTTTTTGCATGTCGTAAAGACAACTTAGCTCACCCCTCCAAGGCCCTATAGCCAGAGGCTTGTTGGAGCCAGGGTTATGGTTTTGCCCTTTCCATATAACCGTATTTTTAGAACTAGACACAAAGTTCAGGGACGTTGAGACTGGAGTGCTTATACACACACGTTTGGCTTTGAAGTGTGCTGCTATCTGAAAAACTTTTTATTTTATTTTGTTTAATAGTTGAAACAAATTGGTTACAATTATTAATGAAAAGTCAGAAAGTCTTCATAAAAAAAAATCACCATCCATGTCAACAGATGAAGGTGGAGAGAACACGCTTTAATAAGGATCCTTTAAGAGGAAGAAGGAAAATGTAGTACTTTGTTGTTTTTGAGTGATTCTAGTTTTGTTGCAATGGACCTAGCTTTTGGCCACACTTTTGGAATCCTGGGCTTTTTTACATTGCTGTAAAATATGTACACGTTATTTGTCATAAATGAGAAACTATTTCTGATAGGTATATGTATTTTTCAAGGACTAAATCTCCAGTGCGTTAGAAAAGCCTTTGTTTGAGGGAGGAGCACAGGCACACTAGACCGCAAAGCAAAGAGTATGAGGCAAATTCCCTCACCTATGTAGAATATAATTAGATGACTTTTTGGAAATGTTCTCTTAAAGATTATAATTTTAACAGGGACTAGAAGTAGTTATCTGTACTGGATTTTCTGAGTCAAGGGCCGGGGGGAATATCTATTTTCTGTAGAAATTCCTTCTGTGGATGAGCTCTTGTGTTTAGTTGTCACAGTGCTGTGACAGGGCCTCCCAAACCCCAGAATGGCATTACGTCTCTTTCTTCATTTGCTGCTAGAAAGAGACAGGTTTCAGGGCAGGGAGTATGGGCTGGGGGGTTGGGTTAGCTATTTTTATTACTGAAAACAGAGATGTGGAGTTGATGATATGAATAAAAAGATACTGCTTTCTTTGAGGAATAATAGCTGTTCTGGTTCATAGGAAAATGTTCAATTTTTTGCTTTATCTTTTTTTTCAGTGTCTTTCAGACATATTCAGAAAAACAAACCCTGCCATTATATTTGGAATCTTTTCTGTAGGAAAGAAAAAAAAGGAAAACAATGCAGTGGTGATTGCTGCTTTTCTTTCAGTGCCGGGAAAGTGTTTGAGTATTACAGTGTTGGAGAAGATCTTCTCCCTACCCTCTGTTACACTTTAGAAAAGAACTCCTTCTTATCCTCTACAACAGTTCCAATACTTGAACTTTAGAAAGAGGCTAGAAGTACATTGTCCAGGTCCCTCACTCTCTGCCATTTGACATTTTGTTGTCTCCAAGAGCTGAGCTATGCCAGCAGGTTTCAGATGAGAGATCTTTCTTCCTCCATGCCACTTTCTTGTGGGACAGGAGTTGTCTCCCGGGTATGGCTTCCACTGGAGCTTTTGGTTTTTCTTAGGTTTAATCTTTTCAAGACCCTAACCAAGAAGAGAGCAGAGCTGAGCTGTTGGGCTGAAGTACAGTAGCGCTCATTGCAGATCTCTGCAAGTGTGAGTGAAGAGCTGGTTTGCATGCAGGAGCTGCTGTCAGTTACTGACAGCCTTGCTGAGGAACAGTCCATGTATTTGAGTATTTGGTCTTATTCTGTGAGCAAAGATAATGTTTTATCCCTAACTACTGCTCTATATTACATAGACTTGATGATTAAAATTCATAACTTGTATTGCTGTTTTCTTTTTGTGGCTTCTTTCCAGGTATCACTGCCCAGTGCCTAAAATTTTCTATGTCCAGTTAACTGTTGGCAACAGTGAATTTTTTGGTGAAGGAAAGACTCGTCAAGCTGCTAGGCATAATGCTGCAATGAAGGCCCTTCAAGCTCTCCAGAATGAGCCTATTCCAGAAAAATTACCTCAGGTTTGTGTCTCAGAAAACTGTTGCTAATCTTCACGTTAACATACCACATTGAACAATTTAATTGGCAGTTGTCCTGATTTTGCTAGGATAGAGTTTTCATTGTTTCATTTTTAATGTTTTTTCATATTAGCCTTAGTAATTAGAGAAGCAATACTAACTAATTGTTAGTGTTATTTCTTTATAACAGCACTCCTAACATGGAGCTAGACTTAAATAACAAAAATAAGTAGGCATTTTAAAGATGGGCTTGTCAACAGTGATTAAGTAAAAAATAAAATAAAATATTTGAGATTATACCAAAAGTGGAGAAAATGTCCATTTAATCAGTGGCTTCATGAAAAATTAATTATTAATCTTAAATGTGCGTTGTGACATGAATGTGCTCTTTACAGTAGAACTTACTCGTCCTCAATGTACCTAAGAACCTGACAGAGCTCACTCACAGCTACTGGTCACCTGTCTGATGGTTTTATGCTTTTAGCCATTTAATACCTTTTTTAAATAGCTTTCTCACTACAATGTTTGTAAGTGCTGTATATTGCTACTTAAAAATGAAAATGTTATGTCATATTTTAAAAAATATTCTCCGAATAATCTTTGCAAATTGAAAGGACAAATATAATAAAATTGCCCAGTCACATAAGCCCAAATAAATGCATGAGGAGACAATCTTTTTGCTTTGTGCACTCTTTCTGATGGTGCCTGTTGAACTCCTGTGCACAGTACAAAACATTACTAATAGTACCTTCGATGTCTTGTGTGGTAGTTTTGAGCTGCTTTTTAAGAATGGAAATAATTTTCTGTACTAAAAAAAAATTCTTTGTTTTTTCTGCCTCACCCTGTATCTGCATCCTCCTTTTGATTCAAAGAGAGTTTGAGTCACCCTTTTGTTTTGCTATATTATTTTTCTGGATTGGGAAATTCTGTTTAAAATCACTTATTATAATTAATACTGATTTCTTTTTAAAACAGGAAAACTATTGAAAAATAATATGTAAAGTCTTAGGAAGGATCCCTGTTTCCTTTCTTATTGTTAATTCCCTTCCTTTCTCTTTTGGTTTCCAGTCAAATGTATTGGTTGATAATGAATCCTTAGCACAAACCTGAGTGGGAATCTTATATTATTGAAACATATTTTTAGCTCAGCATATTCTTTGGTTTTGAAAATTATATGTTTAATATCATATTTTATCCAAAGGATCTTTGAATTCAAGATATCCATTAATCAGAATGGAAATTAAACTCTTAAGTGTATAGGATAATAAGTAGTAGACAGAAGTAAATAATATATATAAGTAACATCTATATATACCTGGTTTGTATACTGAGTTTTCATAGCCCATGTACATATGTAATTTATCTAGGAAAAGTAATAAAATCTTTAGTTAACATTTTTGCCTAATTGGGTCTATTTAGTGTCTATTTATATCCATGTCTGTTAGGATGTGCAGGCTTTTAGAAGATGTAGTCATGGCAAATTGAGTTTCCTAAATTCTGATAGAGTTGCCTCTCTGATGAGCTAATGAAATAACTTCATTCTTCTCTTCACCACCATAAGTTATATATGTAAACTGAAAAAAATCCATAGTTAGCGATGAGAAAAATAGGGAAGGCTTGTCAGAAGACAGTACTGTGGGTTAGCTGAGACATTCATACAGTATTTGCAAGACCTGTGTGAGCCCTGAGTTTCTGGTGCAGCACTTGAAGACCACTTGGGATACTGTAGGATCTCAACAGCACATGTCTCTGGGTAGGAGACTAAGTAGAGTCCTCAGTCAGGAAAACCTCTGTGGCTTGGTCATGCTGATGGTGAAGGGAGCTGGTTGCAGGCTAGTTTAGAAACATCTCTTGTCACGTCATATGTTAGAGTTGTAAGTGACTGGAGAAGGCTGGAGGTAACACTGTGCCTAGGTCATGATGAAGTACATGTTGCTGCATCGTGTGGGCCTGAGTGTAGCTCTCCAGAGAACTGAAGGTTGGTTGGAATAGAGTTAAAGGGCTTCATGGTGCCAAGGTTCAGGCTCCTCCCTGCTGCTGGTCATGTGAAGTGCATGCAGGGCTGCTACCTAGTGGTGGGATGTGCCCTAACCATGCGACACGGTCCAACTCAGTAAAACTCTGCTTCCTTCTGCAGGACTGACTTGCTTGGGTCAGCCATGGAAGATTCACTATTCCTCAAACATCATGCATGGATCAGAGCCAGTACACATTAGAGTCTGACTGGCCTCAATTACATGACTATATTGAGCTGCTTTCTTCCCCAATCACTCCACTGCGCTTCCAAGGAGTGAAGGGAGGGGAGCAAGGACAGACCTGCTGGTAGCGATCGAGCCCCGCATCCCATTAGTAACTCAGTGAATTTCACTGGAATGGTATCCATGGAACATAGCACAGTAAATACATGGGTTTACTTTTTGGCCTTCATAACCATGTTTGCTTAATTAATGCAGGCTTCTGTATATTCTTTCAGTTTGAGATACCTTTTTTCATTAAAAAAAACCAACCTTATTTAAGGATAAAATCTTTTACCCATATTAAACCACTGAAGAGGAATATTGCCATCTTAATACTTCATTGTGCAGACCTGTAGAAGCACATAAGGTGAGCAGAAACAAGAGGCAAACAGGGCAGGGTTACAGGTCAATGAACCTGCTTTCATAAACGAGCTACTGTGTGTCTGCCAAAGCACCTCTGCTGTCTCATAGATGTTGGGCTAAGAAAGGCCTTACAATTAAAGTGTCAGTTGTGGAATGAGGATCAAATTTAAATCCAAACTACTTGAGACACTCTTGACCATAGTTTATCTTTCTTCGGGAAGTCATATAACTAAGGCTTGAAACTTTATTGCTCAGTGCTAAGGTCTGAGCCTTCAAGTCTATGATCCTCCCTAGTTGTCACTCACAGTCAGGCTCTCTACTGTGTTTGGTGGACAAATATGCAAGGAGTGAAATTTTCAGGGCAGAAAGGACAATTGGGGATTTTCTGGACTAGTGTGTTTGTATTAATCATAAAACAGTAGTTTCTGCGTTAGACTGTACGTATCTGCTTAAGCTAGGGCATAGCTAGAAAACCTAAACGTTCTTGACTTGAAGGTTTGTTGACAGTCTAGTGGGCTTTATATTATCTTATGTAAATTATGACAGTGATTGACTATTCCCCATTTCAAAGATAATTTGCAAGGTATTTTTTTCTAAATTAACTTAGCTTTATTTTCTATCTATTTGCTGTTTTCTTATTTTTGCTAAATGTAACACACAGATATATAAAATCTCCATATACATGTACAGATTATGCTTAAGTAATTTTGAATCTTCTTATAGAACTGTTTCCATAGTGTCTCAGTATAAATTTGTTTTTTCTAATCAGTAGTTCATCTTTGTGTCTTTTTTTGTCAGCTTTTCAGATTATCCTTTATAAAGATTGTCCTTCAGATTGTCCTTTATAGATATACAATACTAAGATTCTCACTAAGGTTTTTTACAGAATATTAGTACCCCACTCTTATTGTTTGATACTCTTTATATCCCCAAATATATTTTTACTTTTAAACATTGTCCTTTTAACTCTATTCAGTTGATCTTTCTTAGTGAACCTAATCAATGCTTTGCCTGTCCTATAAATAATGACCCAAATTCTTGATTTCAGTAGTGCTTTGCATTTCGTTACATGAAATGAGCTAGAGGTCCTACATAATTTCATTCATTCTTAGCTGCCTGCCAGCTAAGTTAAACTATCACACTACCCTTGTTACTGCTTTGCACTGCACCCTTTTTTTCAGCAGGTGCTGTAAACTTCATAAATTTTTGGTTTTATTTAGCTCCAGATCAATGTCAGGGATGCAAACTGCATTTTCATACTCAAAATTTTGCAACCACTTAATGAGACAAAAAGTGCTCCAAGTCTGTATTTTTGGTCCTGCATTATCTTGAAGATTAATATATTAAGAGTTAAAAAATGTTAGATAAAAGATTGGTGTATTCCATTGTTAATGTGCAGAACCTAATGCTTTTTTAATGTTATTTTATAACTTTGGTATTTAGATTTTGTAGCTATGCTAGTGGCTGAAGATTTAGATCAGACTTTGTTATGTAAGAGGGGAACTCTGCAGGAATCCACCTAAATCAGCCCAAGTTTCTTTGATGTTTACCTCCACTAATAAAAAATTAGGAGCCTGGCCAAGGTTACATGGTTGTTGAGAGATCCCTGTTTGAAACGTTCAGGGCTTTGCAGTTTGCAAGTAGCTGTAAGTCAAACCTTTGAGAACCGAGGAAGATGTGGCCTGGGGGACAGACACCAAAAGGTAGCGGTTGCGGAAGGCGATAACTCTGACTGATCCCCATGCTAGTGGTTGTCTGAGAAAAATAAAACTTGCCTAAAGTGTAAAGCAAAGCTGAATTTTAGGCGGGATAATGTTTGCATGTGTCTCTTGTTGTTTTATCTCTTAGCTTCTCTGTTTGTTATGTTCCTATGGATAAATAAATAATGTTCTGTGTTGAGCAAGCTGTTTTCTGTCACTACCTTTTCACACTCGTCATAACTCCCAGAGGGAAGTTGATGGAGGGGCCATTAACCAGCTGGACCTGCTGAGGCCACCTGTAACCTGGTGACCCAGTCAAAGTGTGGGGGTTATTCACTGAATTTCTTCTGAGAGAAGTACAGTCTTCTGTACTTTCCAAGAATACAGAAGACTTCTTCCTTGCTTGGAAGTAGTACCCACAGAGACACTGAGAAACAGGCCAAATTATCTGTTTGATCCTTGTGTTTGACACAAGAAGTGTGTATTCAGATTATTATTGTCCATGTCACTAATAAGACTAAAATCCATAGAAGTTATTTTACCATCTATCATTAATTTATAAACTAATGTATATGTGTTCCTTTATTACGAAGCACAAGTGCATTATATATGGCTTCACAGTTAGCAGGTGTCTGATAGTGGGGTGCTGAGGTGGATTTGCAAACACTGGTTTACAGCATGACAGGAGAATCCAAAAGTCTTTGAGAAATCAGGGGAGAAGCATGTTTTATCTTTTTATCTTCTAAAAATTATAATATGATCATGTACTCTTCATTTTCAGAATGGAGAAACAGGAAAAGAATCAGAAGAAGATAAAGATGCAAACAAGTCTGAGATCAGCGTAGTATTTGAAATTGCTTTGAAGCGCAATATACCTGTCAGTTTTGAGGTATGTGTTACATATTTATCTGTTTGCTAAGTATTAAAAAACTGTGCCACTAAAACTCAATACAGTTTAAAATATTAATACATTATGAATATGACATTTAAATTTATGCAAATTATAAATAAAAAATGGTAATGTATCAGTCTAAGACACTATTTACTATTAATTTGGATGCTCTTTCAGAAGTATTGGAGACCTAATACTTGGTTGCAAACAAGTGGATGGCAGAAAGGCAGTTCAAGCATCTTTTGTATAGTGTTGTGGGATTAACATCAGCAGTCTCACTCAGTCTGACTTGAAATTATCTTCAAAACAGTCAGCCAAAGTCTTTGCTTTAACTGTAGGCATTCATACACTTCAGAAGTTCCCACTGAGACACTCTGCAACTAGTGTGCTATTTTCAGAGTCACGGGCATCTTTTTATCTTCCACACTGTTTGACTCCTTATCCATCTCTAATTAAGCCCTCATGATATTTTTTTTCTCTTTTCATATGATTTTATCTATGAACTTGCTTCTGACACCTTTGTTTACCTTAAGTAATAAACAATATTTGGATTAGTTCCAATGCTATCAGTGAACTAACTGTGGAAAAATGAGTGATAGTAACCGGAAAATTTTTCCGATGAGAAAGTTCTTACACATACTGGTTGTAAAAATCTAAAGTTATTGTGCTAGGAACCACCAGACTTTCAAGCTGGGGGGTTTTTTGTTGTTGGTTTGTTGTTTTTTTTTTTACATGTAGAAAATGCTAATGTAAGTGACTCTTTTAAAGTTTTATTTTCTTGCTTTTTGTTTTAAATTTAAACTGAGTATACATGGAGGACATGGGTATTGCCTATACTGGTGATGGTTATTTTCTCCAGTTATTTTTCCTTTTGAAGTATAGGCACATATTTTCATGCCAAAAAAAAAAAAGAAAAAAGAATGTGGCATGCTTTACAGTGTGCTGTATGCAGTTTACTGACATGTTTGTCCCATATCCATGAATTGTCCAATGTCAAATAAGCTATTTGGACCTTCTTAGAAATCTGAGAAGTCTCTCAGAAGGTAAATAAGAGAGGCAAAGACAAAGAATATTGGTTTTGTCTCAGGAATTCCTCAGTATAACAAATCAGTATGTGCTTCATATATATGGTCCACATTGTATGTACTAACTAGAACGTTAAGAGGAAGTAAAATCTCAGGGATAAAACTACAATGTCTGGGGGTGTTGGTGTATCAGTTTGCAACTACATGGAAAGAATGTAACGCTGATATAAGATCAGGCATAATGGAAACACATGCCTGCGTTTCAAAAAGTAAGCTCATAATTACCGTTTCAGTTTTCACACTTCACTTTCTACCTTAAGTATTTAAAAGTATTTGGGATAGTTACATACAAATCAATACACTAAAATACAAGGAGATGAATGGTCACAGGTCACAGAATAACTTGGAGGTTGGTAAGAAAAGAGGGATGGTGCTTTGAATGTCTCCTTAACTTCATTCCTGTGCTTCAGCTTATTTAAGGGAGAGCATTTGGTAAGGAGAGAATGAAGGCAGAGATACTTAGTACAGGAAAAGTCTAATGTGTCACTGGCCAAAGAAAGTTAACAATGTTGAAAAAAGACCGTTTCTTGCTCTCCTGACAGGTTTTATGTTATTTCCTGCCTTTAAGTATAGGTGACATTCTTAAATAGGGTTTTGATTGAACTTGGTACTGGCTTATATGTCAATAAAACTGCTAAGCAATTATGAGTAGTCTCCAGGACCTGATGTTTCCAATAGGATTTTATTTACAAATGGTTTTGTGTTATTCCAGGCAGGCATCAAAGCTTTCTCTAGCTTTTTTTTGTGTGCAGTAGCTATAAAATGATCTGCCTTTTCTTCATCTGATGAAGCTTTAGCCAATGTTCCAACAGTGCTGTGTTATGCAACTAAGTAATGGTCATAAAGATATGTAAAGTTCTATGTAAACATGTCCTCAGAATTGCACAAGGGGTGGAAAATAAGGAGAGCATGCAAAACCGCATGGGTTTCTTCTGTCTATCCTGTTTCATGTAGTATGGCTAGTTTTAATTGCCTAGGAACTTCGGAGCAAGATTTAAGGAATTCCTGTCTATTAAATCATTAACTAAAATAAAAACATTCAGTTCTAGCAAAGAACAAGCTTTACTCCATAATTCTCACTGGTACATCCTTAGCTAATCTTTATTCATCAAATTTTAAGTAAAAATACAACTCCTCTAAGACATTTGTGAGTCTCTCAATGAACAATTTTTAAGGAGGGGTACAAAACTGATTGCTGTAGGAATTGTTAGAATAGCTGCAAAATGGTAATTTTGCTTTTTGTTCCCTCCTTGACAGTAGGGTATAATCTTGCTTTTTTCAATTCTCTTGCAACATGTGTTTTATTTCTGACTTGTCAGTAAGGAGTTGGGTGAACCTCGAAGACGTAACTGCGGTTAATAGCTTTAGGTATTAGAACATGGTGAGGTGTTTCAGATTGTCATTTTATTTTCAGTATTTTTCTTTGGATTGGAGTATTCTTTCTTTAGATAGCAAATACAGTAATATCCTATTCTCAGTATCAGGAGTGAGGGCATAGAGTGCCTGAACAAGGCAAATTTTCTGCCCCTCCATCCCCTTCCAGTATTTTGCTGGGAAACAGAGTTGCAGTTTCCTATGTCCCAGTCTTATTACAGTGAGGCAGAGATTCTGTATTTTGCACCAGGAATAGACTGAGTTGCTGACTCTGGGAGACTGAGCAAGTTCACACCCGTCTGGCTCCTGCTCTCCTGGGGATTAAGGCTTTCAGATCGGATGACTGACATACTGAGTAGCTCTCATTCGGGTTTTGCATGATGGTCTCATGCAAACATCCTCGCTCCAGTTTTAATACAACATCCAGACTTTCCTATTTTATTTTTTTTTTAATAATTGTAAAAATCTGGTATGTCTGCTGACACAAGCACATGGAAATATGTAGATATTTTAAAACTTGTAAGTAATCATGGATGTAGGTGGCATGTTTTTCTTGACCTGTTTTTTGTCTCCTCTATTTTTTTTAATGTCCATTTAATCTTGTCATAGTCTTTTGAATTTTCTACCTGGAGTTTCATTAATAATTGAAGCAGTGTTGCTCTTTCGTTGTAATTGTACTGCTGTTTTTAATTTGTCAGCATGATTCATTAAATTGAGCCAAATTCACTCTTGATGTAACTTGACCTTAGATGTGTTTTGGACCCATGTGTTTTCTCTTGCTGGAGTTATTCCTTAAATCAGTGGAACAGAAAAAGAAAAGTGTATTGAACTGTCACCCGTAATCAAATTCTCAGCTTTAAATTAGCCATGATTTGGTCCACGGGTCATATCTTTCAACTGAGGAAATAGTTTAATGTACTAATGTATATAGTGTTCTTGGATTGCAAAGGCTGAATTTCTTTATAGTGTTTTCTGTTCCTAGACTTACAGCACAACTGTTTGAAATCATTTGGAAGAAAAAGATCTAAAATCTGGGGTTAACCAAAAATGTTGTTAGGTAAATATTGTTTTTGCTAAATTACCAAATTTGGATGTTTAGCTTGATCCGGATCCTATCAGAATCCTATGAGGTTCATTCCATTGACAACACTGAAATTTTTCCATTTACACACTAACAAAGAGACAATTTTGAATGTTTTCTGGGCAATCATTTACTTTGTGTCACATACTTAAAGGTTTAAAGGATTAAAAACACACCGGAATACATTAGTTTTATATTAAGAAATATATTTTCACGTATATGAAAATATAATCTGATTTTGTATTAACATTCTTTTTCATATATATATATTTATGTGCATTTATATATATATATGAGAAAACTTATATAAAACTAATATTTTAGGAACTCGGCAATTATATTTCTTAAGCAAGTTATTTTGTGTTTTTTCATCTGGTCAGTACAGACATTCTTGTATATTTTATTAATACATTATATTGCATGTAAGTAGAAACACCTATATAATGGTATTAGTAAGACCACATAAAGATTAAGGACTTTTGTAAGGTTAATTCAGCCATGGTTTGCAGCCAACGTGTTGTAATACTTGCAGAGCAAGGTACAGGGGTGAGTTAATATACACCTTTAAAACAGAGCGGGAAGCACTGCTTCAGGTGTGATGAAGGTGTTCGGCACCGACATGGAGCCCGACTGTGCCTGAGAGTGGGAGATCCCGGCGCTGGGCTCATCCCAGCTCTGGCGTGAGCAGTGCAGCTTTTCGTGGCTCCGCACCTCAGGAGCACCGCTGCCTCCTCGCGCGGTGAAGCACTAGCTTCAAGTGAGGTAATCTTGGAAACACTTCTGAAATTACTACCTGGAATCTTAGAGTGGGAACACTACTGGACTACAACAGAAAAATCCCATGCTGGCACAGATTTTGTCTTATGCTGGGAAAATGCGGACAAAGTTTTCTGTTAATTTTCATTTTGTATCTTTTTATTGATGTATACTGTGATAATTGTATTTATTGGGTGAAGTTGCCACAAAAGAGAGCTTAAAAAAGAAATACAAGCCTAAGGAGACCTCATTACAGTGTAACAGCGAAACTAAATAGTGCAAGGGACATGACCTTGATAAAAAGAACTTTAATACAAAACATGTTGTAATAATATTAACGTTGAAGGTTTCAGCCCATTAAAAATATACCAAGAAGGCCCTAGCACTTCACCTCTGTTCCCTTGCACTCAGGCATTACACTTCTTCGACAAATGGTTTGATGTAATTGCACCTACTGAAAAAAATACGTATTTGTATTGATTTTGAAGATCATACAAAGAGGTCCCTGTCAGATGCTCTAATGTCTCCTTATACACATTGCATGTAACAAAGATTAAATTAGGTAACTGCTTCCGCCCTTCAAACAAAATAACTGAACCTTTTCCCAAATGAGGTCTCTAATTCCTGATAGACATTGTCCAGATCAGTAAATGGTACATACATGAAGAGATGGCTACCTTAGCACCTGCAGCACTATGATTTATTGGTGAATGCATCCTAACAGTATAACCTCCTAAAATGAGATGTGTATGTTTGTGAAAGTGAAGACAGAAAAAGAGATAAAGGAAGGTACAGTGTTCAGAACTTCATTTTTTTCCATATTATTGTAACTTTTAATAGTGGAGAAATACTTCAAATGGGTTTTCTCATTGTCATCCTGAATATGTTTGGAAGGGAATGAATAAGTGAAATTTTTCAGAAGTGATTGGCTTGTGTGTGAGTTATGGTGGCTCTTTTGATAATTCCTTTTGGTACTGTTGGGAGGGACAGCTGAGAGTTGTGGAGGCAAGACTGGGGCAGCCTTTGAAGTCTACGGGATATCGCTCTGAGTTGTGTACTCTGGCAAGGTAAGAGTTGAGAGCAGGCATGCTGCCTGCAGCTAGGACTGTGTTCAAATACAGATATCTAAGACTGACGTTTGGGACCATGTGTGGACATCCTGTGTTTTAATGATAAAAGAAAAAAATTACAAGCGGGTGTGAAATGATGCCATATAAATATATTTTCAAATATGTTTTTGGTAAAGAAGTAACCACAGCCTGGTGGACCTTCATGAATTGAATTTCCATAGTATGTGAAGCACCTTGCAAGGAAAAAAAATCCAGTAACTGGTTTAAAGATGCATTATTGTTGTCTATTGTGTTATTGTATAAATCTTTTTGAAAATACAGGTCTACTGTATTTCCTGTGAAACACTGAAAATGATGGTTAGATTTGCTTTATTTAATTTGCTTTAATTTTCTGTCCTCAAACCTGGTACTGTTATTGGTACTTGTCCAGACTTTATGAAAAACCCAACTAAGTGCCTTCAATTAGAAGGAAAACTACATTAGTAGTGGTAAGTACATAACTGAAATACAAACATGGAGTTATATTCTTACAGAATGATTTGAGTCAGTGTTATTTGTGCTTAAAAGGTGATTAAAGAAAGTGGACCTCCTCACATGAAGAGCTTTGTTACACGAGTAACAGTAGGAGAATTCACTGCAGAAGGAGAAGGCAACAGTAAGAAACTCTCAAAGAAACGTGCTGCAATGGCTGTCCTACAAGAACTTAAGAAACTTCCTCCTCTTCCTGTGATTGAAAAGCCAAAACTTTACTTTAAAAAACGTCCAAAAACAATATTAAAGGTACGTGTCCGCCTTTGACAGAATGAAGCATATTTGCTCAAGAAGTGAGAGTTACTCAGATTTTAAATCAGTAAAGGCTTATTTGCCATTTTATGTTGATACTGTTACTTGTTTGCCTGTACTTTTTTAAATTCTGAGAATGCTGTGAAATTCTCAAACATAATGGCTTATAAGGTGCTTGGCTTAGGAACTGAGCGCACATCTCTGAAATCTTCAGGGGTTTGGTTCAAGTCCAGCGGAGGATCAAACCCTCCAAGCAGCTCTGTACAGCCATGTGAATTTTTAGCACCATCTCCTCTGGAAGGCCCTACAGCATATATGATGATTCTCTCCCTGGTCTTTCCCCCCTCCCCAGTTTGAAGAGGGAGGGGGATATATGAAACAGTAGATATATGGGGAAATGATGCACAGTCCAACTTCCTCCCCTCATGGAGCTAGATTCAGGAGTTTTGTGGCTTCAGCTTCAGCTTTGTTTTGCTTTGTTTTGCTTTTTGGAAGATTTGAAAGAAGGCCATGAGTATGTTGACATCTCAGCCTAGTCTGTCATTTGTCAAGTGCCAACGGACAATGCTTTTTTGTTTCGTGTGCCTGTCTTTGGTAATGCTCTTTAGCTCTCAAATACAGATAGAAAATTGACTGGAGACCAGCCCATGGAGGAGTTGCAGACTTTGAACCATCCCTCCATTAGAACATGCCCTGTCTCAGAGGATATTAATATGCTTCTTGCTGCACTAATGAGGCTTTCTTCAGAGGCTCTGGATTCTTGTGAGCTCAAGCCTCTTAAATGATGCTTTTATTCTTAATGGCAGTAAATTTACTGCTACTTCGACAACTCAAGTCAGTCTGTGGTCACTAGCCCTGGTTTGTCTAGTCATCCTAAATTCATACAAAACCAAAGGGTCATCTAAAGTAATTAGTCTTCCAAATGATCTAATAAAAGCAGCCACATTGTGTCGATATATTTATGAAGCATCACTACCTACACAGTCTCAGCACTGACCAGCTAATCAGATTAACTTGTCATCTGTTCAGTGCAGAAGACAAGGCTTTGGAAGTGACCAAAATCTGATACGTTTCATTTTATTTTAGGACGTATCATTTTGTGAGGAAGTAGTTAAACTCTTTGTAAATTATTTTCTGTTGTCTGACATACTGGATGGTCATTTAGGTATATGTAAGGGCACGTTAACAGCCTTTCATACTAATTTTAGGTTGGTGTAAATAATGGTGGAGAGTTGCTCACTCTGGTGTTAGTCACTTTTGCCCCTGCTATACAGATCAGGAACCTTGACAAGCTCAAACAAGCATGACTGCTGATCATCTCTTGTCCTGCAAATGGCTTCATGAAAAGGAAATAGCTCAATAACATAAAAACAGTTCTACATTCAAAAGCCATTTACATTTAATGTATAGAGAAGGTATTGAGTTCTGTCCATGGGTGGATGAAGAGCGAGTTGAGAGTTTGTG